ACCTTACAAATGATTGTGAATGTGTGATTCTAAATCTTGAAATTTTTGGATAGACTATAAAAATATGGATCATCTCATCATTTTTTCCAATTAACAAATAAAAGTTACATTATTTGATTTGAGTCAACCAGTACTTTTATTATGAAAGAAAATTTTTGGTTTTCCAAACTTTATAAGTCTCGTCTTCCAACTTTAGTATTGAACGGTTTCTTTGGAATTGCAATGATATAGGGTATATTTTTAATAGAATTTAAAGAAGAAAAAAAAAAGAATAAGAGCAAAACAAGAATAAATCAAATTTAATCCATCATATCTCATTATATCTAATGAATTTTGATTTGTTTTATTATTTTTATATATGTTATAAATCACAAAGAGATCATAATTACAATTTGATCATTAATAAATTATTAATATTAATGATAATTAATTTAATTAATTGTAACTAATTTTTTTATAAGTGATATAATTATTTTTTATTTTATAATTAATATGGTTATTTTAAAAAAATTAGAGTATATATAAATAAGCAACACATAGAAGTTGAAATGTTAGCTGAACAATAAAACACGTGCCTATAAATTTTTTCATATATAAATAATATCTGGATCACTTGTTTTTTTTATAAAAACATTTATTCCCCATTTATAAAAATAACATTATCTATATTTTATTTTTTATATAAAATTACTTTTTATATAATGTTTTATGATTTATTTTTAATTAAATGTAATATTTAATATTTTTAAAATAGAAAAATGAAATATATTATAGATATTAAAAAAAATTATAAAATTAAAAACTAACAAATTTATTACCATTTAAAAGTAAAAAGAATAAAAAAGAAAACAAATCAAATACATATAATATTATTGTTTCGTGGATTTTGCCGCGTAATAATGCTATTACATTAACAAAATGCTAAATATAGACAAATTAATAGATTTATATAGATAATTGTATTAAAAATAAATTATTTTTCAATATAAAAATAAATCTTGTAACTATTAAATAATACACATAAAAAATTAAAATTTATAATTAGTTGTCATCAAAATATAATATAGAATTCCAAGTTATTTGCAATCTTAATAAAATTATCTTGGGTCTACCATTCATTGGTCCGTCTAAGATTTCATCATATCTCTTTACTCTATCTGATTTTCTCACCATGTCAATTTTAATAGTTTTCTCGTATTAAGATAAGTAGCACATATTTATTAAATCATTATTTCAATGACATAGATTTCAATAAGTAACATTTTTTTTCATATTTAAATCAATAATAAATATCACATTCTATTTTTCTCTTATTTTGATCATTATTATATTTTTTTCCGTATACGTAAGATATTGTAATTTTTTCTGTTAAGTTATTGTAATATATATTTACTTTGTTTATTTTAAATATTTTTGAAAAATCAATTTTATAAATATTTATCAATTTTAGACTTTAATGTAGCAATAATAATAATTTTACAAATAGCATTCTCAATAATTGAAACAAAAAATTATATTTTATGTCTCTCTTCTTTATAATTTAAATTACTTGAATAATAACATATAAGCAATACCTTTTTTTCTTTTGTTTATTTTTTTTATTTTCACTTTTTTTTTCTTTCTGATTTGGATTTTGTTGAAATTTTTTATTTTTTATTTTATTTATTTAGAGTACCCTTTTAGTATAATCTATTTAGGTTAACATTTTTATAAAAAAATATTTTGAATTTTTTAATTTATGTTTTTTAATATTTATTTATATTATATTCTTTAAACTATATAAATATATTATATTAAGAGTCATAAATACTTATTTATTTAATTTCCCCTGTCGTTTTCTAGACATAACACCAACTTTTTACTCCCATTTAATTTTTTTGCAATGAAAATCAAATTTAAAAGTGATCAAGTTATACCTCATATTTTTTATTAAATGTTTCATTTTGAGGAAAGAAAAAACCAATCATATTAATTTTAATCAATCATACTGTTTTACATAATTAATTCTAATCAATCATATTAAATAACTTTTTTTGAAAAAAATTATCATTTAATAATATTAAATTATAGAATTAAATATATTTTTAATTATCTTCAACTGACAAAAATATTAAATTACTCAATTAATTTTAAACAGTTATAGTAAATAGTTATTTTTAATAAATAGTTATTTGTCTGCAATACTATTCAACTCATATACACAACTTATTCTATTATTTTTTAATATCTCTTAAAAAGAAGGTTAAGTTTTTGTTTAGTTTTGTTTAGTGGTGAGTATAAAGTATCATATTATTTAGTTTTGTTTAGTTTTTGGTAAGATTATAAAGTATAGTATCGTGATCTAGAATAAATACACAAGTAATGTATGAATTAAATGTATCAAAATTGTATGATGATATAAAATATTTTTAATTATTTTATTATTATAAAAAGTCATCATTGAATATTAAGGACAACATAAAGTTACTAATAAAAATATTTGATATCATTTTGGCATTGACACATATTATATTTTTAAATGTTTAACATATATTGACGAAAAAATATATCTTTCTTAAAAAAATAATAAGCTCTTTTGTTTATGCTGTTTTGTTTTTATTTCTATGTAAATACTAATAGAATGAGACATAAAATAAAATGGGTGAAATGTATTAAAAATTTAAGATTATGAAAAATAATGTATTATATTATAAAAATTGGTAAGATTATAAAATATAGTATTGTGATATAGAATAAATACATAAGTAATGTATGAATTAAATAGTATCAAAATTGTATGATAATATGAAACATTCTTAATGATTTTATGATCACAAAAAATCATCATTGAATATTAAAGACAATATAAAGTTACTAATAAAAATATTTAATATTAACGAGAATATAAAGTTACCGATCAAAATATAGAATATTAATGAGAATATTAAATTATTGATCAAAATATTGAATAATAATTGTAACATTAATTTACTAATTAAAATATTGAATATTAACGAGAACATGATGCTATTGATCAAACTATTAAATATCAACGTGAACATGAAATTATTAATCAAAATATTGAATATTAACGAGAACATGAAATTATTAATCGAACTATTTAATATTAACGAGAATATGAAATTACTAATTAAAATATTGAATGTTAACGAGAATATGAAATTATTGATCAAATTATTGAATATTAATAAAAACATAAAGTTATTCATTAAAATATTGAATAATAATAGAACAACTTTACTATTGATTTAAATATTTTCGACAATAATTCCAAAATAAAAATAATATTTATATAAAAATATATATTTATTAATTCAAATATTTTTATATGTCGAAAACGAAAATATTAAATTACTGAATAAACTATTGAATATTAACGGGGACATGAAGTTTCTAATTAAAATATTGAATATTAACGGGAACATGAAATTGCTCATCAAAATATTGAATATTAACGAAAATATTAAATTACTGATCAAAATATTAAATATTAACTAGAACATGAAGTTATTGATCAAATTATTGAATATTAACGAGAACATGAAATTACTAATCAAAATATTAAATATTAACGAAAATATGAGGTTATTCATCAAAATATTGAATATTAACGAAAATATTAAATCACTGATCAAAATATTAAATATTAACGAGAACATGAAATTATTGATCAAATTATTGAATATTAACAAGAAAATTACTAATCAAAATATTAAATATTAACGGAAATATGAAGTTACTCATCAAAATATTAAATATTAACGAAAATATTAAATTACTGATCAAAATATTAAATATTAACGAGAAAATTAAATTATTAATCAAATGATTAAATATTAACGAAAATATAAAATTAATGATTAAAATATTTAATAATAACAAAGACATAAAATTACTGATCAATATGAAATTACTTATCAAAATATAAAATAATATCATAAACATAATATTAATAATTAAAATATTAAATAATTACATAACAACTTTACTATTGATTTAAATATTTTTTATAATAATTTCAAAACAAAAATTATATTTATATAAATATATATATATTATTAATTCAAATACTTTTATGTATTGAATAAATTAAAATTATATACAACGATTTATTATCTTTTTAAACAAATGACGGTTGCAAGATATCCCACTAGTATTCATCTAAAATTGAAAAGTATTCTTAAATCAATTAGCATCATCAAATAATAGACTTGTTTGTTTTAATTTTTAAAAAGAATACCTAAATTTTATATTTTTTTAATTAAAAAACTAATTTTTACATCAAATAATATAATATACATTATTTAAAATCAAAACATAATTAAAATCATAACCTTTCAAAAAATTATATCTCAAACAATTTTTATAAAAAACTATTTAAAATAACTTTAAAATTAAATAATTTTATAAAATTTTGATATTCAAAAAAAATTTCAATGAAATAATAAAATATCTAAAGTAAAGTAATATTTTAAGAATAACTTTTCAAACCAATCTTTAAATGAAAATATCTTTTTGTATATCTTTTTGACACAATTATATAACACTATAAAAGTCATTTTATTTGCATATTATATACTGCATTGGCATATCGGCATAGCTCAAACTTAATTTGACAATTCCTACTAATTCAAAGAAACTATTGATAAATCCATACAGCATAAATCTAAATTTGTCAGTTACATAGAATTCCACGGAATTCCTAGTAGAAGAGATTCAACCAATTATCAATAGTGTTCTGGATGCAAGGGGCTAAAAATACCATTTCCAAAGTTGTATTTCAGAGCAAAACAGCATTGCTAAAATCAAAACCCAAACGCAGAATATAATGTAACTGAGTTCTCGAACTAGTTATATCGCTAAATATGTAAACATGTTAGACAATCGACAACAATAAGATGTAACAAACAAATATCCACTAGCATCCTGACAGCAAGAATAACTCTTCGTTGCTGGTATAGAATCTTGGTGAAACATGGAAACAGATATGCAGGAATTATCTATGGTTTGCGGGCTGGTGGTGGTGAACTGCTGCTGCTACTGTTACTACTAGCTCTTCCTTTCAAAGGCCTGGATTGGAGGCAAATTACGTTAGAAAAGAATAAAAATGAAGACACAGATCAATAAAACAAAAAAATTAAAAGAAACAACAAAGCAATAATTGTAAACAAATCAAACACAATTCTAAGCAAATACAAATTTAAAGTTATTTAAAAGCTGGCAATACTGAAGAAAATGTACAAATGCTAGCTCTTTTTATAAACATTTTGAAATAATGTCCTTAAATTAAGAATGAAAAATAACCTCTGGTATAATATAGCTGAATTTGATATGAGAACCTCATTCAAAAACTGCTGGAACCAAAAAATTGATTTTAAAAATGCCACTTGAGAAAAGTGAGATTGATATGATATCAACTCTAAGCATATGAAGATTTACTTAAGAAGCCATCCCTTGTGCTGCTTGAAGCACTCAAGTTATGTGGAAAACTCCAGTTAGAGAGTGAGTTTAAATAAGATATAAAGTGTAAGGGAGAGAAATGGAAAAAAAGTGAAGATGAACCAAATCTTACAGACTAAGAAAATGGAGAAAAAAGAGCGGAGAGGATGGAAATCCAATTGCATATGGTCGGTCTTTACAACTTTCAAGCTTTAAATTGCAGTATTTCATTTCCATAATATTTTTAAATGTTTTCCAAAAAGGAGAATCAGTGGTAGAAATTCTCCAAAACAACATCTTATCATAATATTGTTTAAGGTCATACTGACTACACTCTTAAACAAGTTAAAAATATGGTAGATGAATCATAATCTTCTACCGGAGCTTTTAAGTATGATAGAAGAAAACAAGTCAGTGAAGACAAATAAAGGTGAAGGCTAACATTATAGTTTTATTTTTTTAGGGCTTATTTGTACTAATTAGTATGATTTAACCGCTGGTTCTTCAATTTGTGATTTCCTATGACTTATATATACTAATTAAGTAAGATTTAACTGCTAGATATTCTATTAGTGACTTCCTACAACCAATATGTACTAATTAAATATGATTTAACCGGTATACATTAGATTAACAGTTTCTAAGACACATTTATAGTGTATGAATCAACATTAACAGTGACTTCCTACAATCTATTTGCTATTTCATTGGGGATTTCATAAGACTTATTTATATCAATAAAGTATGATTTACCTATTGGATCTTCAATTAGTGATTTCACAGAATTTATTTATACCTCTTGCTAACAAGAGCTCTAGCTCTATGGGCACAAGAAGAAAAAAAATGGAATGCTTATGTTCAGATTTTTCATCTTTGAGAAAATGGGTACTCAAGTTCCATGACAAATTTACTATATGAAGTTCCTCATGTGCCCTTAGTGCACATTTAGCATTTCCCTTGTACAATTTAAATACTCCCTCCGGTCACAATTATAACCAAAAATAATTACTTTCACACTAATTTAAAAAGTTAGTTAACTGTAATCAAAGTAAAATTTACTATAATATCCTTAATAATTTTTTATGAATCGACTACCAAAATTAAATGTTGTTGAATTAAAATAGGGGTATACTAGTAATACAAACAATAATTAGTTTGAAAGTCAATAACTTTGCTTATAAGAGTGAACAAGATTTAAGGTCATTTTTTTGCTTATAATGGTGACCGGAGAGAGTATGATTTAACAGTTGGATCTTTGATTAGTGCTTTAGTAAGACTTCTTAATACTAATTAAGTATGATTTTAACCGTTGGATCTTTGACTAAATGTGTATCAACTGGTTAAGTGGTGCAGATATTCAAGAGGCATGTTGTACTATTTTCATTAAAGTAAAGTGTAACAAGTTGTAGTTTGTTTTATTAGAAACAACTTAAATTCGATTATTTATGCAAATTGTGGGGAACATGTTTTCTGCACCTTATGTATTAATCAATTCCATTTCTTCGATGGTAAATTCATTTGTAATACTTCATTTGGTACAATATTTCTTACTTTTCTATTATCAATTAGTAATTTAATTTTTCCTGTAAAAAATAAATAATTTGTATTTAAAAAGTACTTATTTGGGCTAAAAAGTACTTATTTGGGCTAATAAGTAAATTTGTAACCTGCTGGCTTTTGTAGAAATTGTAAAAAAACTAAAGTAATTGAAGAGCCTATTGGGTAATTTTATAAATGGCTGAAAAACTTGTTTAACTTATAATAGCAAGTATTTCAATAGTTCACCTTGATGAGACAATAGATTAAATTTCACCATGTTAACCTTCACCGCAACAAATAGAAAGGATAATTAAAAAGATTAGACATGAAAACCATTATATAAAAAATTGTACACATTACCTTCTTGGACTGCGACTCTTTGATCTTCGGGATACCTGTCAAAGTTATGAAATACAGATTTATTGACCATGTAAAAAATAATACCATCTACAACAAATAAAAGACACAGACCTTGCGAGGACTTGGCGAATCCGAGTAAGATGATGACCTTCCCCGTCTCATAGGTGGCCGACCTCTGTCAATAATTAATTTCATATGGGAAAGTGTTAGCATTCAAAGTTCAATAAATCAAAACATGACTAGGAATGCAGAAACAAAAATATTATAACTTTGTGTGTAATTTTGGATGCATATGCATTACAATGTTTCTGAACATTGAAAGTGTTCTGTAAAATAAGCATTTCATCCTCCTAAGCAACGGGATGGTGATACCTACCCCAACTCTTCTGCCAATATTTTATCCCGTAACAAATTCATTTTTCATTTTATAAAATATTCGGTCCTGCATCTAGTAAACCTTGATAGAGGACTGCATACATGACCATTCAAGGAATGCTGCATTCTGGCTAACTACAAACCCCTCGGATCTAAGCATAATATGCTCACATGTTCATTAACATCCCTTGTTTATTATCCTTCTATCAAAATATTATGCACAAAACAAATTAATTTTAGATAACTGAGATATAGCATGTAATGTACCTGCGAGGTGAGAATGATCTTGAGCGAGAGCGTGCAGATCTACGTATTGGAGAGCGGCTACGCCTACGACCAACTGGAGATCTTCTAGGAGGACTACGAGCTCGTCTGGGAGGTGAACTAGAGGAAAATATTCATTCTTTCAATAGTCAATCAATGGCATGTTTGATAAAATGAAAATTGCAAAATAGTCAAGGAAGATAAGCCCTCAAAATAAGCTTACCGGCGTCTTGGAGGAGGAGGAGGAGTACGTCTCCGCCCTGGGCCTGGGCTTCCACGCATTCTTCGAGGTGAGACTCTACAAAAATGATAATTAGACGAGTCAACTTAATAATGAAATTGTTATTAAAAAGCATGCTTGGAATCACAAGCCAACCTTGCAGGGGATCTCAGACGCCTAGGTGGGGGAGATGGAGAACGACCTCTTCCAGGCGACACAGGTCTCCTCCTAGGAGGTGTGTCTCCAGCTCCACGGCGATAGGGAGAATCTAATCGACGACGGACAGGAGAATCTGCACGGCGTCGAGGAGAATCTGGTCGTCTAGGAGATCCAGCTCTTCGAGGCACAGGAGATCTTCTTCGCGGTGATGGAGGAAGTTTTCTCCGCGGAGGAGCTGTCATCTTGAATTATTAGTTCAAGACCAAAATAAAAACCTCCAATATGATAAATAAATGCAAAACAAAAATTTTGCACAAATAATCAAACATATACATTCTCTAGGACGCTTTGGCCCATCTTTTTCAACATCTGCACCAGCGTTGTCAGTCCTAGGTGCATCTCTCTTTGGAGCAACAGCAGAAGCTTTTGGGGGTGGTGAAACTTTCTGTCTTGGAGGTAGAGTAAATCTTGCCTTAATGACATTGCCATCTATTTGGGCCTACATAACAAAAAAAACAAAGGCAACAATTACCAAATTACAGCAGCAAGCAATCTTAATGGAAGAAATTAACCCTACAAGGTTAATAGCAACCTACACCATCCATGAAATTTAATGCTTTTTCGGCTTCCCCTCTTGTCTTGAAATGCACATACCCGTATCCTTTTGGAAGATTAACCTGGAAATTTATAAATGGAAAAGTGTGCATTAAAGTTTGCATTTCATTCTTCTAGAGATATGCCAAATTAAATGCAAACTTACAGCTCTATCCATCACCAACTCTACACTTACAACCTCACCAAAATTACCTGAAAAGAGGTTACCAAAAGAGAATATGAGCTCCTTTAAGATATAGGATCACATAAAGTTCTCTTCCAATTACTTGTACAAGCTTCTTAAGGCCACTAAAAAAGCTCTATCAATTATTGATACAATGTTTGCATAGATATATAGAAACTGCGCTCACAGTTAATAATATGAATACTGATATTGAAATATAAATGATGAATAGCAACATGAGGCATTGGTTTGAGATGAAATAAGTGTCTCTATTCACAGTTTAAGACGAAAGCAGAAGTTGGAAGAGTTTAACATACTGAAAATTTCTTTCAAATGGCCTTCATTGACATTCCTGCTGAGTTTTTCAACGTGCAGAACAAGAGACTCGCGTACAGGAGAAGGTTTCCTGAGATTAGGCATAAGAAGTAACACAGTAAAAGGTAGAAGTTGCAAATCGGAAAAAAAAACTTGTCAATTGTTTAGAGGGCTGAATTCCACAGCATGATTAATTTAATATAAAAATATACGAAGTGGGCAATGAAAATGAAAATTAAACCAAAATTAAAAACATTTGAAAGATATAATAAAAAAGGCATGCACTGAAAATTATAAAAACAAGTTTACCCTGTGTAACAAATTTAACCCACGTATATTCAGTATTGTCAAATTAGGGTACAAGATCATCCCAAATTCCCAATCCTGTCCCTATCTTGTGTTGTTAAATAGCAGCTAAGGGGGCCCTACAGCATAGCGGAATTTAGACAAACCGCTATTGTTCTGCGACTGTGATATGCTATTTAGAACAAAACGTTGTCAAATAGCAGTTATAGTATCTATAGTACTATTGAGTAGCGGAATTGTAACAACCCAATGTTCTCTACTATTCACGATACTTACAGATTGTAGAGTCATAAACCAATGCAATCCCTAGATGAAATTAGACACATTGGATCGAAGTGTTTTCAAGTTCTGAACCTATGAGCAAACACCGTTTTGGGTTGTGCAGTCCAGCTTGGAAAAATAAAATAATTAACCCTTTTCTTCAATGAGCTAACGTTATTGGTCATCCCTCATCTAACATTCAACAGACCCATTAGCCCTCATTCTTCCTTGTCCAAACTCTTGGTTTGAAGCTCTTGGAGTTCTCTGCCACAGGTGAGGATTGCCTAAGTTTTATAAGATCTACCTAGGCCTTGAATCTCTAGCTAACATATTATTCCCAATTGTGTATAAACTTTATAATGGATCTTAGGCTTTAATGTTCTATTATATCCCTTATTTTGTATATACATTCAAATATGAAATTTAAAAAACATATTGCTATACTCATTAATTGAATAATTCCAACGTAATATTTTTATGTTTATAATTTATAATAGTTAGGATCTTACTCCCTCCGTTTCATAATGAATGTCGTTTTAACAAATAAAATTTGATTCAAAATGAATGTCATTCTCACTTTTCAATGCATAAATAATTGACATTTTTCCAATTGTGTCCTTTAACTATTACTCAGCACACTACTTCCAAGTCATTTATAAGGTTAAGTTAGTAAAAGTGTAATATCTTATGACACTATTATGACATTTCTTAATCTGTGTGCAAAAACTTTAAACGACACTCATTTCGAAGTGGAGGGAGTACAATCTTTGTCTCATGATCTCTCATTTTACAATCTTCTACCCCTCTTGCAATCCTATGCAGTATCTCAGTTTGAAAATCTGTGTATAATCCATATTTCTAACAACGACATTCAAAACTCACTAGCCCATTCTCCATATATATCGTGATGAACTCAATATAGAGTAGACTTTTTAAACCAGAGATGGTATAAATTGGCTAATGTGGTGTTCCACTACTAATGTGTATCTTATTTCCTAGCAAGACATACCTTGCTAACTTCAACAAGCGTCAATATATGGTAGATAAAAAGCAAAAATAAAAGATTTTTCATATCTCCCATCAAGATATGGCATAAGAACAATATTATTTGAAATAAAAATCTGTACTCTCCATCTTCGTGAGTGAGAAATACAAATAGAAGAAGTATCATAGGAAAAAGTATGACTACAACAACAACAACTAAGTTTTATCCCACTAGGAAGAATCGGCTACATGGATCAACTTTCATCATAATGTTCTATCGAGGACAGGAAAAAGTATGACTGAAATAGCAAATTTGAAAGCACTCTACCTTGGGGGAGGAGAAGATTTCTTAGATTGTGGAGGTGGAGGAAGAGCGGGAGAACGACCTCGCCTAGATGGTTCAGTGGAACTACAGAACGAAAAAGAAAAAGTACTATCATATCAATCTGGCCTACAAGTTAGCCACATAATCAAGCATAAACTGATGGAAAATCAGCAAAATGAAAATTATTCCCACAAATCATTTAACCAAATGAACTATGATTCTTGCACTTTGTACAATTGAAAGAAGCTATACGATGTATATACGGATTAGCCATATTTACAATAAGAGTGTCAAATATCAAAATCACAATAAGAGTTTCACAGGCACAAATTGTAAAACATTGACTTCGCGTTTAGAATTTCATCTACGGGTTCAAAATTTCAAGGATTTGGAAAAGATTAAAAGAAAATCGGAGGGTACCTTTTGCGTCTCTGAGGCGGAGGACTCCGGCTGCGACTCTTGGAACTGCGGGAGGAGGAAGAGAAGGATCTGGAGCGAGAACGAGAGCGAGAAGAGGAACGGGAAGAGGAGGAGAGAGAGGAAGATCCGGAGACGGAACCTGACGGTGGTGAGCGACGAGCTCTGCCAGGTTTCGCCATTGTTGGAGAGAGAGTGAGAAACCCTCGGTAAACCCTAGATGGGAGCGAAGTGTGAATAGTGTTCGGATCTGGGAGTGAATCCGAGATAAGAAGAAAGAACGATAGTGCTTAGTGTTATTACCTCTTTGTTATGTTACGGAGTCGGATGGTAGTGAAATGGGTCGGGTTGGAACTATTCAAGCTTTATGGCATGGGTCAATTTGATTCTTTGACCTTGATAATTATGGGTCGGGTTGGGTAGTTTTAGCACGCAAATTAATTTTAAATGAATTGAAGATAAATTTATCTAATTTTTTTAGTACATTAATGCAAATATATATATATATATATATATATATATATATATATATATATATATATATATATATATATATATCAGAAAAGGTTTGTAAATATCAAAATTAAAAAGATTTAAAAGCAATAAAATTTGTATCGGAATTATAAGTATTTTTATGGTAGAAAGAAAGGAGAGTATATATGAAATTTTTTTGTATTCAAATTGCATGCTTATATAAGAAATAAAAATTCTTTTATATAAGGATACAAAGGCTTACTATTCAAGTCGGTAATAGCTACCTATGATAGTCGGTTACAACAAACAAAGAATTATTAATGTCGGATACACACCGGGTCCATCGACATAATAATAATTCACAAACAACAAAAAAAACTTTATAAAGTAACGACATATAAAATTCTCTCTTATCTTTATTTTATTGTTTCAAGATAAGATTCCCTTTTATCTTTATTTTATCATTATTACTTCTGGACAATTCTTGTTATTGTTTAGCCCCTTGTCATTGCTTAGCCTTGGCTTTTTCTTTAGCCTTTTGGGCCATAGATTGAATCATAGCATCCCAGAAGTCTTCAATTGCGGGGTCATCATTTTGAGCTTCGCCAGCTAAACCTTCAAAGGTGTTGGAATCTATTGATCCCATGGATGAACTGGTCTTCATAGATTGCATATCATCTTTTGAAGCTTGAGATTGGAAAGAGGGGGAAAATTGAGTCTTCATATGATCCAAAGTCCTAACCATAATTTCTTCTTTTGTTTCGTTAGGATACTTTCTTTGAAAAAAGTTTTTCAAGTCTCCCAAAGACATTTGTTGGGAGTTTTGGTCTCTAACATTGTTATTTTTGTCTTCACTCATAATTGATTTAATTAGAACAATTTTGTTCTGGATGTCTTCTAAACTCATTTTATTCCATCATTTGTAGACAAATTTTCTTTCTAGAATTGGGACATTAAACTTGTCACTGGAAATAGTGATAGTTGTAAGTTAATAATGCGCCTAAGAGGGGGGTGAATTAGGTGATGGTCAATTTTTCCTTTTTTTAAAAAAAGTTCTTGTTTTTCTGATTATGGTGATGAAAGCAATAAAGTGCAGAAAGTAAATGAACACCAGATGTATACTGGTTCTCCTCACAGATCGAGAGTACTTCAGTCCTCTTGCCAACACGGAAGAGATTTCACTATAGTTTAGAATAATTGCACAAGCCTAATCACACCAAAGGTGATGCCTTACTATCTAATTTATAGGGAGATTAAAGGCTCTTAAAATTTTTAAGATCTTGAACACTGAGTGCAAGAAGAACAATCATCTTCAATACATACACTTGCTCCAACAATCCTGGAATGCAAGGTTAATCTTATATAAAATCTGATTTTTTTTCCAAAGTATGATCAATTATTGAATAACATTATGGTTATCAAGATACTAAGACAAGATTTAATAGGAAGTTTATAATCAGATCTAGTGCTCAATATATGTTGAAACAATGATGAGTATGAAAGTTCTAAACAATGTTTCATGTAATATGTAAACTCTCAAAGTTTTACAACACTTAAGAACTTTTGAAATTTTGAATAATGTGTGTTATGTTATGATCAGAGTGCAAACTAATTTTATATATGAAATGCACCCTTTCATTACACCCAAAATGAGTAAAAAGATACAATGGTTGGACCCCAAGAGGTATCATCCAACAGCCAAGTAAAACAGAAAAAATTTAAAATTTTCTTCAATGGTAACCGATTATCGTAGGGCTGTAATCGATTACACATATGTGATAACGTGTATATTTTCAAATTTGCATGTCTGTAATCGGTTATCCAAAAATTGTAACCGGTTACCACTGAACCATAACTTTTATTTTATTTTTGCGAAACCCTATAACCGATTACTGTAACCCTGTAACCGGTTACCACTGAGTGAAAGTGATAAAAATTTATTTTCCAAGTGATGGACATGCAATGTTTTACTCTTAAATGATAATGACACTTATGTAAAATATTTAGAGTATATTTTGAGCATTATATCATCTTAAAAACCTCAAGTTAAAACTTGTACCTAACTTGCTGATGAATCTTCATAAATCTTCATCTTGAAAGTTGGTTGTACACATGTAGAAGACTTCAAAGAGTGATCTTGAAATATTATATGATCTTGAATATCTTCTTTTCCACAACCTTGATATTTCTTTGACTTTATGTATGGTGCATGCAATCACATTCTCCCCCTTTTTGATGTAGACAACCAATTTGATATTTGTAGCTTGTGCATTAAGGTCTTTGAGTGTTGCTTGTATGTGTACCATAGTGATGTGTATTCTCCCCCTAAGATGGATATCTCCCCCTGAATTTAAATATCCTTTGAAGACTTGTTCTTCAAAGAGGAAGCTTTAAAATCTGGAAAAAAATCCGGCATCACTAAACACAAGCATACAATGTCTTCTCCCCTTTTGTCAATATCAAAAAGGATGGGGAAAAGACCATAATAAAACAGAATATAAAACACAAGTAAAAGATAGCACGAGTTATAACACAAACACAAAGTTAACGCATACTTAGAAACACATTGGACACTAGGTCTTTGATGACATAAATGATACGGAAGGAAATACGATACAAAATGCAAAGGATAAAAACATTACATAGGAAGAACATAAACAAAAAACAAAGGTACTAAGGCATTTAGAATTCTTCATAATCACTCTCAAACATAGAGTCCTATTGAATTGGTGTTTGAAGGGCTGTCAATTCTTGACAGATGTCTCGAAATTCAGAAATTATGAAATTTTCCATTGAGCATATTTTGTGATAAATCATCTCATTTTATATTTCGTCGTCATATGTTGGTGGTGGAGGATGTGCATCTTGATTGGAGGAAGTTCCTTTTTCTCTATGCTTGAACAATCCATCGTCATCTTTGAAAATCCCCATATTTTTGTTTGTCGCTGCAATCGAAATTTCACAATCTCTTGAAGTTATTTTTGTTTCGGTTTCTCCTCGGAAGCTAACTTTTCCAAACTTAAGAATCTTGGTTATCCAAAGAGCATATGGAAGTCCACCTGACAGATTTTTGAGATGCTTCATATAGTTCATGATTGAGTATGCCCAATTTATTTGAAGATTATTTTTTATTGCAAATAAGATTTGCATCTCAAAATCACTTATTTGAGAGTGATTTGAGTTCTTAGGGAGAAAAATATAAGCAATAAAGTATTGTAGCATACGGTCACTTACAGTGAGGTTGGAGGAATACAAAGTTAACCGACTTGTTGTAAAACCGACTTCCTTTTTCTTGTCCAAGATTTTTTTTTCAGAGAGACGAGTGATATTATAGTAGTAGCGAGTACGGTTGTAAGCATCAACATCAATAGTATACCCATGCTTGATGAGTAAGCTTTCACTAGGAACACCCAAGCATCTTCCAAATTGAGTGGTTGACATTAAGATGTGCTTCCCTTTTACTGATGACGAAAGAACACCGTCGACACCAATTTGCATAGTTGCATAGAATTCACTAACCAAATTTGGGTAGTAAACTCCACATTTGGTGATGAGATCACCTACTCCTTGCCTAGCCAACATTGATGAAAACTAAAACTCGTTGAAGGAAAGGATGAGAGATTACCATACTTTACTGGAGTGAGAAGGCAGAATCGAAATACCAAGATTGGATCATGTTCATTTTGATTTTGAGATTCTCCTTCAATTGCCTTTGACTTACCTTTCTCCTTTCTTGATGGCCCCATGACAAAGGTTGGAGTTTTTCTTGGAGAGAAAGGGTTTAGGATGGAGAGATTTATGTAAGAGAGAATGTTTGTGTTGTGAGTTAAAAATGTAAGTATGAGTGAGTATTTATAGATAATTTTTGGAGGGAATTACTCTTTTGGTGAAGTAAATATTATAGGGAGTAATTTTTGGTGGGAAGTTTGTAGGTGGGAAATAATTTTGGTCAAAAAGGAAAAAATAATTGGAGGGAAATGATGTGGGAAATCATAAATGCCTTGACAAAACCAAAATTTTGAAAAACTTCACGCGGTAATCGCTTATAGGATATGGGTAACCGATTACTGAAGGTGCCTGGAAAGTTAAAAACGCCTTTATTTGCATGGTAACTAGTTACTGACTTAAGGTAACCGGTTACTGATAGTGAAAAATGTGAAAATATAGCACATACCAGTCCAGAACTTATACCTATCTATTGTAACTTCTATCAAACATGTATAACAACATATCAATAAGTATATATGACATTCAAAACATATAGATAAATAATATATAAAACCATTCAAAGTGAATGTAAGATGAAGAGAGATATACTTGGTAAGAGTAATATAAAAGTTGATGAAAAGAATACATGCACCTTTTATGATTCATAGATATAAATCATACATCGTGTTCATCTAATATACCAAGTTCTCGTTGAATATTGAAGAATGAATCTTTTGTTAGAGGCTTTGTAAAGATGTTTGCTATTTGGTTGTGTGTATCAACAAATGAGATTTCTATGTCACCATTTTGCACATGATCCCGGAGAAAATGATGTCGTATATCAATATTCTTCGTTTGAAAGTGCATGACTGGATTCTTCATGATGTTGATTGCACTTGTATTGTTACATTTTAGCGGGATGTATCCAAGATTAATTCCATAGTCACGTAGTTGTTGTTTTATCCATAGAATTTGAGCGCAAGAACTTCCAGCCGCAATG